TTTTATTATTTTTTTTCCTTGAGGAAAATAAGATTGAGTGCTCAAATCCTATATAAAAAGTGCTTCAGTTACTTGATTGTGGCTTATTTTCACAGATGAGGTTGATCAAAAGAGGAGAAGGCCCACCCTCCCCACACGTCCATATAGTCCAGAAATACCCTGGAAACTGGCAGAGGAGGGGCTTAGAGGGAAGAAACAACAGAGGAGAAGCAGATCATCTGGGGTAATAAAAAGGGGCATATCAAACAAATAGTGCACAGTTCTGATGATTTAGAAAAAGGACATTTCAGTGTGGCATTGTATTTGTTGTGACTGGAAACAACATTGTTTAATGTGATACGGTGTTGACATAATTACAGATTTTTTATTTCGAACCATTTGTGGTTGTAACATATCTCAAGCACTTACTAGTAAACTTATTCTAATACTTGTGTTTTGAAAAAAATATTTTTTTATTTGTTAGACATGAACGCAACTTTAATGACATATAACTATTGAATAGTTTATTTCTGATGTCAGTAGCTAATTCTGTGAGAAACATTTCTTTATTCAATTCCTGTTATGTGGAAATTAGTGTTTACATAATATACAAATGGAATAAATATTTACTTGTAATTCTTGTAGAAAGAAACAATGCAGCAACAGACAGATAGCATTGCTGACAACAGACAAGCATCAGAAAAAGAAATATCATATGATGACAAATTTTCCAAGAAACAACAAACCAAGACAAAGGAGAAAAATGAACCAAACAAAACCTCCAGAAATAATAGACCTGGAATGATAGCCAAAAACAAGAAAATAAAAGTAACAAAAGGAAAAAAGCCAAAAGTTTCTGAGAAGTTAGAAAGTCTTAAAGACAGTAAGGACCCTGAGAAATCTCCCCATGAAAGCATTGATCAGCAGTTTAATGAGACTGAGACTGGTGGCAGTACAGAGGCATCAGAGATCACAGCGGAAAATGATGACAAGGTCACAGACGAGATGTCCAATTATTTACATGAGGATGCTGTTCTGAACACAAAAGTTGAGGTCCACAAGGACTCTGATGGCAAAATGATCACTAAATATATCTGCACCATATGCTGGAAGGAGTTCACTGCCAGGTTGGTGTTTTTTTATTGAAAGTGGTAATTACATGCATATACCTGATTTGAAATTTGCTGGCATTTTTGATAAGATACAAGATTAAATCATTCCATCGATCTCTAAAGGAAAATGTTGATACAGTAACAGTAATAAGGACAGATTTAAGCCAATTGCTAGTTTTGATTTTATAAATTAAAGAATTTGATTTTTCAAACTGTCTTTGTCCAGGTACACACTGCTGCGCCACATGCCTGTCCACACTGGGGAGAGGAAATACAAGTGCGACATCTGTGGCAAAATGTTTAAACAGGTGAGTAGCACGTCAAATCTGTGGCATTCTTCATCTGTGGTTTCCTCTCCATTCTGTAAAATTTTGGGCACTGGAGATGAATGATTGTACTTTTTTGATCCAAGTTTCACTAATTTAATTACTGAATTTGTAGGAAAACTGTAATTTTCATTTTCACTTGCTAAGTTTATTTTCCTTCTTTGCATATTAATAACTGCCTGTACATATACTTTTTCATCATTTCCACTTTTCAAAACTAACTTCCTTATAAACAACATAATGTCTGTATATATTTACATGCTTAGCTGCATATGCTTTCAGAAAAAAACAAATTACAGCTGTGTGATGCACTAAAACAAACTACAATGATAGTAATTTCTGTTTTGAATCAACAGCTACAGTTACAGCATAAAAATTGTTCATCTCCAATATTTCTGTATAAGACTGATTGTATCTAGAGCATCTTCAACAGGAAACAATGCTATTCATGTACTTATATTTTGTCCTCTCATTCAAGTCAAGCGTGTTATGCAGACATAAAGCCACCCACACATCTGCCAGGCCATACGTTTGTGCCACATGTAACAAAGCTTTCTCCAGGGTCTCCACCCTGAACGCCCATAAGCTGATCCACTCAGGTCAAAAACAATTCAAGTGTGAACAGTGTGGCAAGCAGTTCCATCAGAAGGGAAACTTGAAGAACCACATGTACACTCATACAGGTAAGAGTGGGGGATAAGTGGAACACCCTTTGTTTGTAGGACTGATCTAGACATGGTGCACTGGCTGCAGAAAAAAAAAAGCAATCAGTCATGTATTTTGGCACTTTAAAAATGAAATGTAGTGAACTGTGAAGAAGACTAAGAGGGTTCTTGATAATTGTAACTGCAGACTTGACAAAAGAAAAATGAACAATGCATTGTAATTTGTAGGCAAGATATACACATCATTTTTATTACAAATGACAGAATCCTTTGCTGTCTAGCTGCTGATCCTGCCCACCATTACCATTCACCTGTCATCACCAGGTTTGAAGTGGCAGCTCTTGTCTCACATTATCATTGTGCCATTGATTTATTTCTCTAATTGTCTTTAAACATATGAAACACAACAGAATCCTTAAAAAATTCTGATTTGCATTCAGTTTAGTTCTATAAAGATAAACTTTGGTATATAACCTTCATGTACATGTATAGGATATGGTGTAATTTCGGTCACTGGTTTCAAGATGATTATAGGTATGTTTCTCAGTTAAAAGGATGCAGATTTTTAATTTGTCAAGTTTGGCATTGAAATGAAAGCCTTAAGTCACATTTATAGAAAGAATATACATTTGGTAGGTGAGATTATAAAAATGCTCTGGGGAGGGAGCCTCGGGGGTGGGGGTGGGGGGGGGGGGTAGAAATGCTCTAATATTGGCCAGTTGGTGAGTGTTGAATCTGCATCCAGAGTTGGAGAGTGTCATAATTTGGTTCAAATTAATTGATCTTAGCATTGTGAAGAAGTTGGTTTTAAAATTTTTAAAAATGAGTCACAAAGTTTACTTACTAAATTTAGCCAATTGTATTACATTTTATAACCATTTTTATTTAATTTATTTATTTTTCACAATATTTTTAACTATGTTTTGTTCTTTCTTTGAGATGTTCAGCTGATACAATTTTTTAGGCTTTGAAGCCAGTAAGTTAACTCTTTTAAAATGCAGTTTAATTGCTTGACATGTTTAGTATATTACACTGGATTACAGTATCTGTTCTATTCACAAGTTTCAAATTCTTTTTCAACTTGACTTGGCCTATAAATTTTTTTACCAATTATTTGCAAGCACTTTTATTCATTAAAATGTTATGGACTTACTTGAAAGTTTTAAGTTTAAATTTTGTCGAATAGTTATATATTTCCTGTGTTTACTGTTTATTAAAATGTTTTCTAAAACTAAATGCATATATACCAGCATATGAAAGTAAACATTTTGGTTTGTCACAAGTTCCTGCTTGCCAAGGTAACAAACTTTAAAGTTACCATTAGACAACTAACATTCAATAGTGTTCAAGTTGGAAAAACACAGTGGACTCATGAAGATAATTTTACATACTGTAGTTGGATATCAGTGTTAAACAGTCTAGACTGAACCCAAAAAATCTAACACTGTTAATTAAATAGACTCTTGTGTAAATTTTGTAAGTGAAGCAATTAAAAAATAAGTATCCTGTATAAATAGAGTATTAAACGGTAAAATTTATTTCAGTTGCAATTAATTTGTGATTTTTGTTTTAGGTGAAAGACCATTTGCCTGTCCCTTGTGCTCCAGAAGTTTCAACCAACGTTCCAATCTCACCTATCACATTTCACAGTGCCATAGCAAGCGTAACTCCATCTACAATTGTCAGCTGTGTGGAGAGGGGTTCCGCACCAAGAGCAGTCTTATGACCCACGAGGCTGTTAAACACACCCAGCAGACCTTGAAGCCTGACATTCAGACTCTCATCTTTGTCCCCACAACCCCTGCAACCAAGGGTCGGATAGGTCAGATGACATGCAGACTTGATGATGGCACAATGACTATTAATCACCAGGAATACCTAAGCCGAACAAAGAAAAGAGTGGAAAAGGCTAATGCTCAGGCAGGGGAAGAGGCAGGAGAGGCTGATATGGACATTTGTGCCAGCAGTTATCATGGAGAAATTGCTACTGAGATATTGAAACTGCTTAATAAGAACTCCAGTAATGTCCAGCCTCAAAATCAACAGGATGTGGCAGAAACGGTGTCGTCTGCTGAAAAGGACACTTCAGAGGAAGACCCAGAAGATGTAACTGGTGAAATTGAGGCTGATGGAGAGAAAAAGGAAGGGGAAGCCAGTAAGAGCTCTGTGTCATCAGATGTGAAAGTCTTCTCATATAAAGGTGAAAAATTCAAAGTTTTGGCATCCATGGTTCCACCAGAGCAGAGTGTTGAACAGATCAAATCCCCTTCCAGAACAACCAATCAAAATGCGGCACTGTTATCCAGTCATGAGTCCACATTATCTCCATTTTCCCAAACGTCAGTGACCACTGCCCAAATTTCACAGAATAATGCAGATGATAGGGTGCAGAAATTAACTTCTGTTCCCATGATAAAACCAGTAGCTTTTGACCAAACTGGCACTGCCATAGTACAGCTGACGGTCAGTGAAGGGGATGCTCCAACATATGGTCGCATGCTGGCACTGGATAAAAATGCCACTGGAAAGGGATCTAGCTCTGGTGGCATGGCGTTCAGAATTGAGCCTCTTGTCCAAGAAGAACTATCTCACATTCAACAGCTCCTGTCTTCAAAGCCAGTGCCAAGTTCCAAGCCAGTGACAGTTTCAAATATTGCATTTTCATCTTCTGCTTTGACCTCTGTGACAGTGCCATCAGTGGTGACAACAACAACCTCTCAAACAACAGTGCCAGTGCCATCTTTAACAGTAACATCACTAATGCAACCAACAGCAGCAATGGGCACACTGCCGGCAGTTACAGTAACATCAACAGTAGCAGCACATCAAGCCTCAGGTGGAAGCACTGCACAGTCTCCTAACAAAACTTTACCATGCAATATCTCCACCTCCATAAGAAATGAAACCCAGTCTACCCATTTGAATGATGGTAAGAAAAATGAATCTTTACCAGTAATAGCTAATCCACCAGGGGGCGCAGCTTCTCTTCTGCTGTCTATGGCGAATATTGCAGCTAAACAACAAGAGAAACAACCCAGTGTGCTGAAAGAATTGCTAGGAATAATGAGAAGCAGTGGGACACTCACTTCTGCTTCCCTAACACAATCTGTGGCAAGAACAACTAACACAGTGACTGAGGGAGCCAACAGGGTTAGCAAGAACTCAACTAACACAGTGACTTCAAACACAGAGGATGCAGCAATTGTGTCCATGCCTAATCCACCTATTCTTAACCCTACTAGCTCAGAGAATGTGGGTTTCATTAGAACAGCAAAAAAGACAGACGCAGTCATCAGTGCTGGAATACCTTCTAGCCTTCCCATTAGTACTTGGTGTGATCACAGCTCCTCCAACACAATCACTGCTGTCACATCTAACACAATGAGTCGGCCACAAATTGCCACTGCTCCTCCTAAACAGTATGAGATCACTCATCATAAGCTGAAGTCTGGTGGTAAAGTTGAACGCATTCTCCTCAAGCATGGTGCCAGTTCTGCAGGATCTGGGATATCTGCACCTACGTCTGCTGGTGTGAGAATTGTAACTAGGGGGCAGCAGGGGTCTGTCTCTTTGGCCATGGCAGCCCAGATTGAAAAATTCAGGAAGATTGCCCCTAAACCTAAAACTGAGAATGAAATGGAGAAAATGGCCAGTCTACAGCAAAAACCAACCAACCAAATGACAGTGGCAGGACAGCAACTGGCTTCTCTTAGTCAATCTCAGCTCACTCACCTGATGAATGCAGTGACCCCTGAAAGCACCTACCACCAGAATCAACCTGTCATGATGCCATCATCCCTACCAACTGGACAGGCTGGTTTGACCAGTGTGCAGAGCAATACTGGACAGACATTTCCAACTGGTCTCCTGATTAATACACCCAATGGGCCCACCTTGATTCCACTGTCAGCCTCACAAGTCTTACCACTTGTGATGCAGAGTGGGCTTCCCCCTGGCGTTCCTCTTCTAGGTCAAGGTGAAGGCCAAATTGGCATTACTCAGCAAGAAAAGGAGCAGCTATTGTTATCAGATTCTGGGAGCTCTGTTGATAATATCATGATGACACCACCAGGTAAGTTGAATGGCATTCTTATTCAATGAAAAATGTTCCTAGCAGAATTATTTAAACTGGGAAAAATGTAATTATCCATGCCCAGTCTCCGAGAAAGATGTTCTTTTGTAGATTTTTTCAAAAATTTATTTGTTTTTTAACACAAAAATGGCTGATATCAGAGTATGGATGATTCTGCCATCCTCCAGATTTGATTTAGAAAAATAAAAAAGAATACAAACATTAACTGAACTGAGTAAAATATTTAATTGCTGAATAGAATTTTGTGTGCACGTACCTCATCCTAATGAACTGGGGCGACAAAATTAATGTTTCACAGAAGTTTTAACATGTCTGCAAGTCCCCTATCAATTCAGTCCTGAAACTTTTAAATTAATGCTCTGTTTTTACAGTCTCGTCAGATGACAGCCAAACTCAGTCAGGTAGCAGCAATGTAACTTGTTACAACAAGATCAAAGAGGTGCTGAATGTGGCTGATACCACAGGTGGTGGCTCCTCTGCTGGCCAGGATGCTGATGGAGTACCAAAGGTATGGGCAGTCTTTCTGTCTGTCTGTCTGTCCCTTTGTCTGTGTAGGTGGGTGGCTGAGTGGATGTGTACATGCTTGTACATGTGTGCCTCAGCTCATGGGAGAAGGCATAAACAATACACTTGTGACAAGTTGTTTGTATGGTTTTATTCATTTGGATGCTTTTCTGAGTGTGTGTTTGTGTGTGTTCAAATGTGTGGCAGCTCTTGATTTAAAACTGGTTCCTTAGATATTTCCATCTGTGCCTTAAATTGATTAAATTTGATGACACTATGTATAGGTTAGCAATCCTGTTTTATTTTCATTAACTATTTAAATCTTTTACTGGGCTTACAAATTTGTGTAGTTAACAGTGTTTTATCTCTATCTCAAAGCCTTTGGCTGGTCTACTGAGAGTACAGGTGAACTATTCCCTGTCCTGCTGCCTTATCTGTGTTGAAGACATGGGGTAGGGTGAACAGTTATCTTCCGTGCAGATTATGCAACGGGACGTAGAATAGTTCACCTGTGCTCTCAGTTGGCCAACAGAATGCCCCCTCTCACCAAATCTATAGCCCTGTGAACTCTGTCACCTGTAGGCAAGTTGTTATCACCATGAAAAGAGCAGGTGAGGTTATCTGTCACCATTCCACTATTGGAGGCAAAATTTATAATAAATTAATTGATTTTTAAAAACTTTTTGTCATTATTTTGGTGTCTGGAGGAAATGTCTTTTAAATGAGCAAAGTCACTGTATAAATGGGTGACATAATCTTAAATTACTTTGTCTAGTAAATAGTTTGAAAAGTACCTCAAACATAGCCATTAAAAAAGTATTATACCATTGTTTCCACCCGTGTGTTTTTGCATGTGTTAACCTATTTATTACCTGAATTAAATCAAAAGATTGAATCTGTCATATATATATATATATATATATATATAGAGAGAGAGAGAGAGAGAGAGAGGTTGTAAATAAGGCCAAGAGGTATTTATAGAGTGGGGATGTATTTACAACATTCATTGTTTGTTTGTTTGGAGGAGGGGGGGGTTCCTTATTTTATTTATTTATTTTATTTATTTTATTTTTTGATGCATTATGCCTTCATTTTCTTCTTTCATACTGGATAAGTACTGTTAAATTTGGTCACAGAACAGTGGACTGATGAATGAAGAAAAAGCTGGAAATATTGATAAACTAAAGACAAATGTGTTCATGAAGAGAGCTGGTCATCCCATTGATACTATTGTTCTACATAGATCCATTCTACTATATGGGGACTCTCGATGAATGCAATCACTTTTATTAGACTCGGTTTCCATCCCTAGATCTATCTAACAGGATATATCCATATCCACGAGGTCCCTAGCTAAATTGCTTTCAGCCCAAGTCGCTTAGACATCTGGGACACCCACTAAAGCTGCTAAAGGATAGTAAATTACCTCTATCAGCCTCAGTGGGCGTGACAGACATCTAAGCCACCCTAGTTAATTGCAATTAAGGGAGAATCCCCTCAGAGATGGTTTGATCCAAAGTTAGTACAATAGTCTCTGGGAATGGTCTCATAGATTAAGCCACCTCCTCTTGTTTCCAAAATATATAATCACTACCCCTTTTTGTATTTTACTCAAAGTCGGGGAATTAGCCCTGTGTGTACAGTATTTTTTAAGTACCACTAATGTAAAGAAAGACTGTTTGTGTGTAAACTAACTTCATGTACTGTATACATAAAGAGTTGATTTCTTTTTGTTTGCACAGGATGTGAGATTATGCAAAAGGCAGTAAGTTTTATGCCAAGGCATTGACACCCCTGTCTGAGCTTATCTTTTAGATAGGTTTGAACTGGCAAGTTGTGTGCCGGTTAGGGTGAATTACGATATACACTTAACACTTGGTCAAAGTCACTGGGAAGACTTTGTCAGTGAGAAGATGGGGTTTATTGTATCAGTACCACTGCTCCTAGCCATGAGCTTGTTACTAGGGTTCTCTGGCTATAGTGCTGGAGAAAAAATCCTGTTGTTTCCTTTTACTCAATTCTTTAACTCTAGAACTATGAATGTAGAGAAGATAGCTGTCCTATTACGGGATCATGGTCACTCTGTCAGCATGCTGGTTGGGGATCGTTACAAACCTAGGATGAATATTTCTGGAATAGAGTTGATTGCATACAAGATGCCAGAGTCTTGGGTCAACAAAGGAGGAAACTTAGACTTAAATGCTACCATGAATTACATTGGAAAGGATCCACTGCCGGTTATTTTAGAAACTGAACAGCTGGACTACAGATTGGTTGAACATTTGTTTAGTGACAAGGAAATGGTGCAAAGTTTAAGAAGTGCAGGATTTTCTCTGTTCTTCTTTGACTTTATCAATGTTGCTATTGGTTATTTTTTAAATGAATATCTAAACATTCCCAGCATAGCATACAGCAACTTTGGATTTTTTGAAAGTTGGTTTTTCTTCCACCAACCTACTTTTCCCTCCTATATGCCATATACATTTGCAGATTTGTCGGACAAGATGACATTCTGGGAACGGCTTCAAAATACAGACATTCTGATGGAATATGAACAGTGGACTAATAATAAAATTGAGCACATGGACAAAATGAGGCAGAAATATCTTCCCAATGTAAACTGGCCATCCTCGAGACATGCTTACCAACGAGTGTCTCTCATCATTTCGGCAAATGTCAATTTTGCTTTTGATTACCCAAGACCAGTCATGCCCCATGTCAAACCCATCTCTGGACTCCTCTGGACGCCACCGAAACCTCTCCCCAAGTTTTATAAAGACTTAATGGCATCTGCAACCCATGGAGTTATTTTGATGAGTTTTGGGACCTTGGTTCCTACCTTGCCAGAAGACAAGGCTGAAGCTTTTGCCAAAGTATTTGCAAAGCTTCCACAGAAGGTGATTTGGCGCTACCAAGGCATTGCCCCAAAGTCTCTTGGAAGTAACACCCACCTCGTAGAGTGGTTTCCACAGAATGATCTTCTTGCCCACCCTGCCACAAAACTGTTCATCACCCACTGTGGAGTGAGCAGCACGTGGGAGACGCTGTACCATGCTGTACCTGTTGTGGCAATTCCGCTGCTCTGGGATCAACAACACCATGCTAGAAAGTTGAAGGAGCGTGCCAAAATTGGTGAAATTGTGGGGTTTAGTTCATTCTCTGAGACAACATTAGAAAATGCCATAAACAAAGTTCTTAATGACGGGTCTTACAAGGAAAATGCATTACGGATGTCCAAACTTATGCAAGACACTCCTATGTCTGGACAAGACGAATTGTTGTTTTGGGTTAACTATGTTATTCGGCACAATGGAACACTTCATTTTCACTCCCAAGCTGCTTACCGCCTGAACTGGTACCAGTACTTTTTGATAGATGTTATTGCCTATAAAATAGCAGTGAACTGTGTATTTTATCTTCTTTATCTTTTCCTGGGGATTTCATTAGTGAAAATGCTGAAATTTATGTTCTTCTCCAAAGGGAACAAAACTAAAACACAATGACAAGATTAAATTTTTTGTCAACATCGCCAGTATGAAATATCCCAGAGGTAAAGTTTCAAAAATGAGATGGGTCAATAAAATATTTTAAAAAATTGGATTCCAACTTTTTGATTCTTCATAAGAGGGTATATGTGTATTTCGTGTGGATTATAAATGCAACTAGTACTAAGGCATTTTACTGAGACATGGAAAAACAAACGACAATTTGTACAGCTAATTAAGTTTTCATTTTATGATTTTTTTCAAATTATTTCTCTTATTGTTGTCCCTTTTATCTCATTGGTTACTCGTATCCAGAAACAGAAATTGAAAAAAATAATAATAATTGTAGCAATAATAATAATAAATCGCTTTATTACAGCTGGACAGCTCCAATATCAACAACCTGTTACATTTCCTGCGCCTGTTAGATACGGACACCCCTTCTGTGCCGACGCCTGATAGTTCAATATCCTCAACAGTAGGTGGAGCCACTGTATCATCCCAATCTATTACAATTAACACGGGGCCATCAACACACAGGAGCACGACACAACAGTCGCCGAAAAAAGACTCATTGCTGGTGCACTATTTGACACATCTCCCTAGCGGTGAGTTGTGTATGTTGGCCACGAAGACTTGGGTGTTCCAGTTTATTAATTCGTTTTATTTATTTATTTTATTTATTTATTTTATTTTATTTTATTTTTGAGGAGGAGGGGTAGGGGGCTTTAGATAAACTTCTTTGGTAACGTAAACATTATTGTTATTGAAACTTTCATAATAGATGTTTAATAAAGGGAAAAATAAGTGAAGGGAAAATGTACTCAACCTTAACACCACACTCAAATAATAATAATAATAATAATAATAATATAAAATAATAATAGAAAGAATGAATGAATGAAGAGAAAGATAAATTAAGGATTTTTAAGGAAAGTCTCGGTCAAAGCACCTGGAATTTGTGTACTTTCAGGTCGTATTAAAGGTAGCAACAGCGACCACCAGCATGGCGATCCCTTATTACAAGGCGTTAGTCACGTTCCTAGTCACGTGCCAAGGTCAACGGGTTATGGAACAGAAGACGAATCATCAGAGAGTTTGATACCCCGAAGTTTGATATCCGAATCTCCTGAAGACAGTAGTAAAAGTGAAGACTTTCAAACTGTACTTGAGAAGATGTTTTCTATTTTGAACTCTCAAGAGTAAAGAAGTGGTTAAGTCTGTAAAAATAACTTATAATATTAGTGGATTGTCTATATTTTGTAAATAATGCATAGTGTAAATTGCATGCTGTCTTTTATTATGCTTTTGTAACATATAATATAAGACCAGTGGTATATATATATATATATATATATATATTCTGTAGATTTAAATGCTGAGATTTTTACCACAAACTTCCTTTTTGCAAAACTGCTGGTTAATCTCCTGTTACTCATTAGTCAATTGCAAATCTTCATTCGAGAAAATTGCTCTTTTTGAACTGTGATTTGCAAATAGACGCATATGATAATTTGTTGAGGCCATTATGATGCTTGTGAAGGAGGTGTCATTTGTGGCGGTTTGTTGGCCATCGATGAAGTAGGGTCTGTATTGTGTCATTCCATTAAAATGTCACATGAGAAAATCACACATTTGTAGTTTTGGTATGAAGGCTTTGTATCACAATCGCCGTTGATTTCTGTCAAAGTTGAAGGGCATTTTGGTATAATGCAGACAAAATTATTGGGCACGTCAGAATTATGCAAATGTTAATGAAATGTGCCAAACTGACGGGTCTCAAATGTTCAATTCTTTTTTAATGAGGCTAAATACAAAGATATTAGTGTGTACTGTTCACCTGGATGGAATAAAAAAAAAGTCTGAGTGACTGGTCTCTTTGGTAACTGTAATCACTTTGTATGAGACTAAGTCTCAGTAATGTAGTCTAAATTATTCATTAGTTCATAATAAACGTAATTGCCTCCAAGATCCGCAATGGCATATGTTCCGTTAAACTTCGTGTGGTACGATGTGATCTCACAGACGCTGGATTGGCGCGCAAAGTTGAAAGAGAGGCAGTTATCTCTCTGTTGCAGAATTCAGTGCAGCGCAGCAGTGAGGAGGTCGTTTTAGTGGACAAAGCGAGGAACCCGGGCAATCCACGCCCCGGTGCCACTGGACTCTTAAAGTACTGCGCTGATTTTTCTGGAAAGAAAAAAAAGACGTAGGTACTCATCAGGCGTTGTCTGAGAAACATGTTTGACGATGGTGTTGGTACAGCGTTCAAAGTACATTATATGTGATGAAACGTGTTTTGGATTTACAGGCGTGATAGGAAAATTGCCAAATCCATGGGGAATTTGTCTGAAATTGAGCTTTTTCATTTCAAAGAAAAGCGTACCCTTTGAACCGCAAATATTCATGGATTTCTTGACTTCAGTACTATTAAGTGCCCTGTCGTAAAGCTGCATGCATTTCAGCCTCCCTGTGAAAGAGCGGGAATCCCCGGCAGTTTTTCCCATACGTAGCGCTCCCATTGTGCTGTGCTCTACTGATCCAAAATACGAACTGGCGACCTGTGAAACAAGAAGACGCGTTTATGCCACATTTCTACAATCATTAAAGTAATAAGGCCAGTAAAATTGTTGTCTGAGTACTAACAGCTTCAAAAGACTTTGCAGAAATAAATACTTCCATACAAACTCGATATAAAAATAACCTTTCTAAACATGTAAAGATGAAAGTTATGCATATCAACAATTTTATGTTCATGGAATCTGTTTGGGCCCTTGTATTTTAAAACTACCAGATGGAAGCTCGCTTTCTATAATAGACTAGTATCCCATGCAATAACAGCTTGATCAGTCGTGGGTCATATAGACGTTGCCATAATTACAAATTGTGATAAAAATTGTATCCTTTTTTGCGATAAGATCATTGAACAATTTCTCCATATAAATTACTAAGGGTGTATGAACAGTGTGTTCATCCTATTCATACGTATAGCATAACCGCAAAACATAACTGTTGCAGCAAGACACAATCTTGTCACAGCTAACACAATCACAAAGCATCTTTTACCTCGTAACCATTCTTATAGATCACGGCCATTCCTGAACCAAAACTGTACGTCCATCCTATATATGTCCAAGTATCCACGTCCAGAACACCGCTGACGTTATACCATGGTCCCAAGGTACCATCCCTGTACCCAAGTCTCACCAGAATATCGGTGTTGCCAATCTGCATAACGTGGGTCCCAAACCCGCCTAAAACAATTTCCGTTGAATAAATGGTCATGGGTAGTAAATGTCGGATTGTTGGAAAGATGAGAAAGAAGTTACAAAGATTGAGAATACCATTCACATACATACAATGGAAGGCATAATCAAACAATTTTAATGGTCAGGTGTCCGGTCATTTTGATATCAGCCAAAAAATTACTGCAGTGCAAAAATGTAATAAAAAGGTCGTTCAACCAATTTAGGCAATAGGCATTACTTCACAAATGGAATTACAAGTATATAAGTGCATAACAAAGCAACCAGAGATTTATTCTTACCAGAGGAGGCATTTTCATGCTCGAAGTTGAAGATCGGTCCTTCTGTAGATGACGAGGAGCTGTATACATAGCCAAGGAATGTGAAAGAATAACGGATATCCAACGATCCATTATTTGAAACTTCTATGTAAGAATCTGTTGGGAACCCTATACTCCCATCGTCTTCTTCTTTGAGACCTGAATGGAATTTAGGTACAAAAATATACAGTATTAAAATTTTTAATATATATCTATATATAAAATATTTCTTATGATAGTCACACAAATCCAAATGCATGTAAAACAGGTTATCAGAGGTAGTGTGTTGTTGGTAGGCCTACACAGTGGCTAAATCTACCTGTTTTGCATTTTCTCTCCACTTCTGAATTCAAGATTAGTTTTTGTCAGTATTAGGCTATGGGATTCTACTTTGGCCATTATTTGGTTTCAAGGAAAGATGATACTTTAAAATGTCATGTAGATCATCAAAGCTGGAATCACCTTTGGCGGGGGTAACACCGTATTTCATGATGTTGTTTCCATTACCGCTCAAATCGAGCTCGTGGTATCGCGTCTCAAGAGGCCAAAACGCAACTGGGTTCGGAAATCCTAAAAAAGAAAAAAAAGCTCAGCTACTGACCCTTTAACTATTTTTGAAATCCCCATGTGAATAACGAATAAGAACCTATTATCCGTAATTTTCTTGCACGTCTTATTTACTCGATTTCGTGTCCTAGTGTTATTGAAGGCAGCTGCAATTTAAATACCGTATCATAGTCCCAATAATAAACCCGCGTCCTTTAACTTTTTTTTAAAAAATCCATAATATTATCATTATTTTTTCGACATTGCTTTTTATATAAATAACAAGAGAAGTATTTTTATATTATATCACATCTTCATCCATTTCTTCATTTACGGCTGGGTAAGTGGAGTTAATAGGTACGATATGGACATGTCATGCCATGTCATGTCATGTACGTCATGCGGGACAGGAGCACTCAGATTAATGAAAATGTGATTGAAAGCAACGATCTTTTATTGTATATATTACCTTGCAGTAGCTGGCACAGTTGTCTTCCGGTGATTATTTGGCTTCTAGAAAGCGCCACATCGTAGAGCTGTAGACAGGACATACGTCCAATAAATCTGTGTGTAGCACTCGTGCCAGTACCAATAAGGAGGTCATACTGAGTACCGAGGTCCCACTGCCCAAAATCTGCGCTAAATTTCACCTCGCCGTCCATCCACAACGTGCCGATACCTGACAAAATACCATGTACGAGTAAGTTCCAACAAGATTAATTTCATTACAATAAAGTATTTTGATTGAATAATAATTATAATTAAAATCAAACTATCACGATCAAAATATAATAATAATAATAATAATAATAATAATAAAACAAATGAATATATAAATAAGTTAGAAGGTGAACCGTTAAACTTCTGTGTTCGCATACTTAAGCTTTAAACGATCTCATACCCTAGACCCGCCGCCCCTATGTCCCGAAAACAAACACAGGTGTAAGTTCGAGTATTACCTGTGTCTTGGTCATAAGTGAACGCGAGGGAAACCCACTTGTGCCTCTCAAAAAGCACAGAAGGACTTGTGGCGGAAGATCCTTGGGTACTTCCAGCCGAGTCTATTCTCTTATGTAAAAGGGCGCCAAATTTATTGTCCTGTTGGACATAAAAATGTGGGCCATGGGCGGTGTTGCCGCCAACCATTTTCCACGAAAGAAATAACATATTCGTCGAGCTATCTTCAGGATACATGTCCACACTCCAAGTCATGGAGCGCCGAACATCCAAAGCAAGGTTTTGTGGGATCGTGACATTACAGTCAGCGGTATTGCAAAAGACAAATGCTCCGTTCGGTTCGTTTTTCGGCCCAGGTGCATACGTGACGTCAGAGCCAACAATTCCATGGTTCTCATTGCCAGAAACGTCGTTGGCGCCGTATTGCTGGTTGAGGTGCCACATGCCCACGGGACGGGGCTGAACTTCACCTAGTGATGATATTCAAGAGAGTCATACATAAATATTTTAAACACTGTTTTTGATATTAATTGAGTTGAAATAATGATTATAAAACACAAAACTAGCATGTCTAATCATAAAAATGGCATTATTAAGGCCGCACTTGTATATTACAAGGAACGATTTGTTTTTCCAGGGGAAGGCATCGAAATGCTGTCACACGACGAAACCTGTCCTCTCGAAATGACTATTTGATGTATTTTATCAAACCACAATCTATTTTAAAAGAGAGCGTTTTTGCACAGTCCTTTACCCATGAGCAGCAGTTGTTTTCCGATATTAAATAGAAATTTAAATTGAATTGCTTTCCTAGAAAATCTCCTACCTTCCCGCAAAAATAAAAATAAAAATAAATAAATAAATAAAATAAAATAAAATAAAATATAATATAATAAATTAAAACAAAATAAAATAAATAAAAGATTTTGCAACTTAACGCTACCTGTAGCCCAGCCAGATACCGCGAGCGTGCGCAGGGCAATACGTACCTTCAGTGAACCCTAGAATGTTCTCAGGCGAGCAGATATCCATGGCCTTCTTAATCTGGTATTCACTCAGAGCCACGTCGTACAACTTAACACAGCTTATATCGGCCTTTAAAAATCTATGGTCATTATAGGTAGCATTTTTAGCACCTAAAAAGAAAAGAAAAGGAGACATAAGGTGGTTAAAGAAAGCACTGGAAAAGTGAAACGAACCTGAGATACTTTGCTTTAATAGAAATCGGAGTGCAGAAAGTATGTGTGTTGAAGTAAATGAAGTGAAAAAACGTGGAAGTTTAAAAAATATAATCATAACAAGAGAAGGACATTACGACGGAGCAGAGAAAAGGAAAAATATGATAATGATGTTGAGGTACAAATGGTCGCAAAAAAACACGTTTTACATGTACCCATAGATATTGCATGCAGTCTGGCGTCTTCATGGTCTTACTTCACGGCAGAATAAGAATACCGGTGTGCAAGAGGATGTTGAATAAATGTATAAAAACAAATCTTTTTGAAAAGAAAAACCAAACTTACCTATTCGAACAAAGTATTGTGTAGACAATTCATACTGTCCCACACTGTTTGTTCCAAATAGTTCGCCATCTCGGTACACGGTATGAACGCCAGTGGTATAGTCATATGTGACTGCCACATGGATCCACTGATCATGAAGGAAGTAGCTTCCGTGGGTAGCTGATGCCTCGTTTCCCCAGCCATCGGTACGACGACGAAAGGCGACATAATAAGAATTGGTGTCTGGATGAAGCCACATTGCCAAATAGCCCCACCCGTCCGCTTGTGTTGGGAAATCGAATTGAAATACTGGGGCGGTAGTTGTGGTTGAGTCTGTATTATAAAAGTATAGGAAAAGAAATGAGTAGTTATTGCACACAGGTAGGAAGAAATGTTTGCATTAATAACGTGCAATTTGAACTTGTTCCTTTATTGACGGACATTTTGGAAGAAAATGACCATTAAATAATCAAAGCTGATATGTGAGACAATTAGGCAATTAACCAAAACGTGCTCGAAAAATTGTACATGCTCCTCTGGTTATGAGACACCCCTCACCAAATTATACTTCCTACGTGATGTGGATTGACAATATATTATGAAGCTAGATGGTAACGCCCGCATTCTCAATAATGTTGGGTGATGTTGGGGGGGGGGGGGGAGAGGAGGGGTAGGCGAATGCAGATGCACAACATCCTATGCCAGAGAAAGTTCCTAGGGAAGTTTAATGATTGTAAGGTAGAACCAGGGGAAAGTTTGACCATATTAAACAACATCAACTAGGAGTATTAAAACTAAAGGTGAAGGCAAGGAAGATGGTGAAGGTGGAGGTTAAAGGAGGGTCTTAACACTAAGATAAAAGGAGGAAATTCAATAAGTGGACTTTGTAGGGAGAAAACAGCTGGGAGACAGAAGAAGGGGTGTTACGAAGCACAGAGGGGTCTTTCGACAAAAAGACCAAGCTTACCTATATTAATCCATGCCATAAAGGTTTGAGAGAACCTAGTATCCAGGTAACCATTGTTAGGCAATTCGATATACGAGTCCATACTTCCAGCGAGACGAACAGCTCCGTTGTTGTCGCCATGGGGACCCGTGACATACGTCAGACCACTCATAGTAGCTTCATTTCCATGGCCTGTGACGTCATGGGAGCCATGAGCTGCGTCCAATGGCCACCAGCCAACAGGGAGTGGATGTGCTGAAACAAACAAAAGGGGGAAAAAAGATGAATGAATTTTTTAACATAATCATTTATTGACATGAGCGTTTTCAAGGGAGGGGTGGGACTGCAAGTGAACTGTATTATCAAAATCGTTCATATTGTTATTTATCGGGAAGTGCTAGTAATATGTAATACGCATATGTTTATAGGCGGATATCTTAACGCGCTGGAGTAACATGCCAGTTCAATCGAAGATGTACTGTCAGCAGATGCATAGCGTATAGATGATAGGTTGCCCATCGCAAGTTCACAACAGCTGAATATGGTTCCCATTAAACGCGTTTCCTCGACGCTTCTTTAAAGACAATATTGTACATTCTTAAGAACCACAGACTGTGGTCTCAATCATTGAATATACTCACTGTCCAACTCTGTGCTGCCCTCTGGTGTACACCTCCGCATGGTTCGCTTGATGTCATGCTGAGACAGGGCCACATTATACAACTTGATGCAACTTATTCTCCCCTTTGTCAGGTAGTTTGCCCCATTGTCATAAGGCTTGTAACCAATGCGGATTTTACTACCTGCGGTCGCAAGTTCTTGCTGTGTAGGGTTCCAAGAATGCACGAGTACTCCGTTCCGGTAGTAGAACACTTGGTTGGATGCGTAGTCGTATGTAATGGCAAGATGGCTCCATACACTGTCTGCGAAGAAACTAACGCTTGTGGAGCCTCGGTTTACAAAGGAGCGGTCAAAGTGGTAGACCCCGAGATTGTTTGGGTCCGCGTGGTTCCAGATATGAAAACCCCAAGTGTGGCTTGGATCGTCTGTATCGTAATCAAATAATGGACCATTTCCCCCTTTTGGCATGAAATATGCTGTAAAGGTGTAGGAATAACGGACGTCTAGCTTGCCATTGTTAGGTATGACGATGTGAGAGTTAATAGTGCCCGCTAAGGCGTAGGCGTCGTTTTTCCCGCCAAAAGGGCCCTGGGTTGGATATAACTCAGATGAGAGGGTTGCATGGTTTCCGTTTCCGGTGACGTCAGTTCCTTTGTAGCTGGACTCAAGAGGCCACCATCCAACAGGATACGGGAGTTCTGAAATGATATCACAAGATATATATATATATATATATATATGCTTTTTATGCTTTATTCATTGTAACGTATGCATCTACATGGATAGATGAAAATGTACAAAGGAATGCAAATATATATTAATATGAATTATGATCAATAGTGATATTGTATGACTCCTTGTATGAAAAAAATACAAAACATATTTGGCAGAGCCCAAATGGCTGTACCTACCCAACTGGTTATGGGTGCAGCACAGTCCCTTTTTTGGAAGGCTAACCATAAATACTTGGCAAGAGCTATAATATGTTCGTTCTTCTTACCAGTCATTAGTGTTTAAAATTTATCCATTCTGGTAAGATGCTCAAAGTGACTATGTTGTTTTTTGTATATTGAATAAAGATCATCGGTATATATATATATATATATATATATATATATATATATATATATATATATATATATAAAAGACAACTTGAGTGTTCTTATTTGCCAAATATTTGCCAAATATATATACTACAAAATAAAGGGGCACGCTTAGACATCAATACGACCGGAATGCAATAATGTACACTTGTAAATTGTACATAATTCATTTATATATATATATATATATATATATATATATATATATATATATATATACGNGGGGGGGGGAGGGGGGTAGGCGAATGCAGATGCACAACATCCTATGCCAGAGAAAGTTCCTAGGGAAGTTTAATGATTGTAAGGTAGAACCAGGGGAAAGTTTGACCATATTAAACTAGGAGTATTAAAACTAAAGGTGAAGGCAAGGAAGATGGTGAAGGTGGAGGTTAAAGGAGGGTCTTAACACTAAGATAAAAGGAGGAAATTCAATAAGTGGACTTTGTAGGGAGAAAACAGCTGGGAGACAGAAGAAGTGGTGTTACGGAGCACAGAGGGGTCTTTTGACAAAAAGACCAAGCTTACCTATATTAATCCATGCCATTAGGGTTTGAGAGAACCTAGTATCCAGGTAACCATTGTTAGGCAATTCGATATACGAGTCCATACTTCCAGCGAGACGAACAGCTCCGTTGTTGTCGCCATGGGGACCCGTGACATACGTTAGACCACTCATAGTAGCTTCATTTCCATGGCCTGTGACGTCATGGGAGCCATGAGCTGCGTCCAATGGCCACCAGCCAACAGGGAGTGGATGTGCTGAAACAAACAAAAGGGGAAAAAAAGATGAATGAATTTTTTAACATAATCATTTATTGACAAGAGCGTTTTCAAGGGAGGGGTGGGACTGCAAGTGAACTGTATTATCAAAATCGTTCATATTGTTATTTAATAACATATGTAATATGTAATATGTAATATGTAATACGCATATGTTTATAGGCGGATATCTTAACGCGCTGGAGTAACATGCCAGTTCAATCGAAGATGTACTGTCAGCAGATGCATAGCGTATAGATATTAGGTTGCCCATCGCAAGTTCACAACAGCTGAATATGGTTCCCATTAAACGCGTTTCCTCGACGCTTCTTTAAAGACAATATTGTACATTCTGTGGTCTCAATCATTGAATATACTCACTGTCCAACTCTGTGCTTCCCTCTGGTGTACACCTCCGCATGGTTCGCTTGATGTCATGCTGGGACAGGGCCACATTATACAACTTGATGCAACTTATTCTCCCCTTTGTCAGGTAGTTTGCCCCATTGTCATAAGGCTTGTAACCAATGCGGATTTTACTACCTGCAGTGGCAAGTTCTTGCTGTGTAGGGTTCCAAGAATGCACGAGTACTCCGTTCCGGTAGTAGTACACTTGGTTGGATGCGTAATCGTATGTAATGGCAAGATGGCTCCATACACTGTCTGCGAAGAAACTAACGCTTGTGGAGCCTCGGTTTACAAAGGAGCGGTCAAAGTGGTAGACTCCGAGATTGTTTGGGTCCGCGTGGTTCCAGATATGAAAACCCCAAGTGTGGCTTGGATCGTCTGTATCGTAATCAAATAATGGACCATTCCCCCCTTTTGGCATGAAGTATGCTGTAAAGGTGTAGGAATAACGGACGTCTAGCTTGCCATTGTTAGGTATGACGATGTGAGAGTTAATAGTGCCTGCTAAGGCGTAGGCGTCGTTTTTCCCGCCAAAAGGGCCGTGGGTTGGATATAACTCTGATGAGAGGGTTGCATGGTTTCCGTTTCCGGTTACGTCAGTTCCTTTGTAGCTGGACTCAAGAGGCCACCATCCAACAGGATACGGGAGTTCTGAAATGATATCACAAGATATATATATATATATATATATATATATATATATATATATATATATATATATATATGCTTTTTATGCTTTATTCATTGTAACGTATGCATCTACATGGATAGATGAAAATGTACAAAGGAATGCAAATATATATAAATATGAATTATGATCAATAGTGATATTGTATGACTCCTTGTATGAAAAAAATACAAAACATATTTGGCAGAGCCCAAATGGCTCTACCTACCCAACTGGTTATGGGTGCAGCACAGTCCCTTTTTTGGAAGGCTAACCATAAATACTTGGCAAGAGCTATATATATACAAAAGACAACTTGAGTGTTCTTATTTGCCAAATATTTGCCAAATATATATACTACAAAATAAAGGGGCAAGCTTAGACATTAATACGACCGGAATGCAATAATGTACACTTGTAAATTGTACATAATTCATTTATATATATATATATATATATATATATATATATATATATATGACCAATTAGATGACTCTTAATTGCATCCCCAACCACAAAAATTATTTTCAGTGGTGGCACCATTGGAAATATTGATCCATATTCTGAATTGCACATAGAGCTTTCGACGTCCCAATCAGAGCAAACAATTCATAATTGCCATCATATAAGATGCCACGAGGCAAAAGTACCATCAGAGTCCAAGAGAATGCAAACATAGACAAGGCCCTGCATGTTTACCTTCTGGGACACACAGCTGGCGAGCATTCCTGATATGGGCTTGGGGTAAAGCCACGTCGTACCACTGAATACAAGACACGCTACCGGCAAACGACCTAGTATCCGAGTTATATGAGGCATACCGGGACCCTACGTATACATCATACTGGGTGGCGTGTTCCACCTGGCCTATGTTTGACTGAGTGTTTATCTGAAATGAAGTTATACTTTACTAATAAGAATGAAGAGATTAATAAATGACAAAGGAAATAATAATAATAAAAAAACATATCATAGATTTTGAAATTAAGGTGAAAAATAACTAAGATTCACCCCCATTTTTTGAACAAACTGTTATCCGATGACGTTTCTGGCCAAGAACTGCATAGAGATTTTATTGAAGGAACAACGCTATTGCCTCACCTCGACCAGACGCACTGCTTGTGCTGGCAGTGTCCGCGAATCATATTTCTTAACCTACCTCAGCATCTTTCCAAATGGTCATATCCCCAGTCGTATAGTCGTATGTCACACTCACGAAGACCCACGTGTTTGACGTCAGCACACCGCTGCCGTAGAGCGCTGCCACAGAAACTGCTCCATCACT